AACCAACTTTTTCTGATAGATATGGGGATTTAAAATTTTTTAAAGAATTATGGTTTTTTTTCTATGGCAGAACTTTTTTTTGAAGAATTTTCGAAGTCTGGTATTTTTTTTTTAAACTTTTTTCAGAGGTAGCGCTTGTTTTTTCACATAGCTCTAGTATCTTACGTCTGGTTGTAAAGAACGTTGCTATGTTGAAAAGATAATTAAAACAGCTAGAAGTTTATCCTAAACACTTTGTGATTTCAGCTTACCGTCTGGGAAATATAAAGCATTAAAATGCAAAAATTATGATTTTTGTGCGTTATTTTTTACGAAATTTTGACTTTAAAAACTCAGGAAAAGTCGAACAAAATTATATCCTGTGTCCTCTATTTTTTTGTGTATAGGTGCATTAATTTGGCGTCGTTCAAGGTATCGCTCATTAAAATCTATGGAGAGACTTTGGAGCTAAAATTCGTTAACCAAACCTAAAATAAGGAAAAAATGAACAAAAAATACCTTTTCAAAGTTTGCGGGCTTCAAAAATTCTTTAAAAAAAGTTCTGCCATAGAAAAAAAAAATATCATCAAACCATTTCTAAGCCCCAAATCTTTAAGAAAAAGTTCGTTTTGTTCCTTGAGGAAAAATCGTGTTGACTAGTGTTATTATACCCGTACTCAAAAAAGAGTTAAGGGGTATATTAGATTTGTGGTAAAAGTGGATGTGTGTAACGCAGAGAAGGAAACGTTTCCGACCCCATAAAGAATATATATTCTTGATCAGCATCAATAGCCGAGTCGATATAGCCATGTCTGTCTGTCCGTCTGTCCGTCTGTCTGTCTGTCTGTCTGTCTGTCTGTCTGTCTGTCCGTCTTGTTGAGCGCCTAGATCTCAGAGACTATAAGAGATAGGGCAACCAAATTTGGTTTCCAGACTCATGTGATATCCCACTGCTACAAGTGTATTTCAAAATTTCGCCCCGCCCCCTTCCGCCCCCACAAAGAACGAAAATCCGTGGCAGGCACATTTCTAAAGATACGATAAAACTAAAAACGCAGTATCGTAGAGAATGACCATATCTACCAGATTGCCGAATCTGAATCAGATCGGATCATAATTATAGCCAGATTGACAAGATTAATTTTCAGTTTCTTCCCCTGCCCCCTCCTGCCAACGACAACACATCTCATTTTCCATCTCGCTCGCACACTCTGCCGCGTTCAGTAAGCGAGCAACCCCTAGCGGAGGAGATGTAGAATCTAAATGGTACATTTACAATCTACATATTAGATGTATAATATACATTGTAGATGTAGATAACAGATGTAGAAAAAAAATGTAATATGTAAAATTTTTTTTTTTAATTCTAAAATTTTAAAAAATTATATGTTCAAAAATGTAAATACTGACTGAGTACGGGTATAAGTACAGTCGCGTCTTTAGAAGCGACTCACACGTTCCTTCTCGTTTTCATTGCGATGTGTAATGTCTTGGCTACTTTCACGGCTCCTTGAAGCCACAACTTGAAACGAATTTCGCGTTCGCCTACCCAAATTTAATCGTCTCGACATTTAACTTTAAAAAACACACATTTTTAGACCAAATTTGAGATTTTTTTTTTGATTAATTTTTGTGGAACCTATTTATAGAAAAGTGAAAACTTTTGTAAAGAAAGAATGCCGCATACTCTGGCTATCATTTTAAAAAAACAGCATGCAATTTGGTGCACGCGTTGCGGAGATAGCCGCTTACACACAGATTTTTTTCTACAAATTTATAGTATAGATATCCGCTCATTATTATCGCATATACCATCTAAAAAGAAATTATCATTGGAGGGATATATACAATATAGGAGTTTTTTAATATTGGGGTGGTAAGCGTCTTGCAAAATTAACTTTCACTTATAAAGCACGGGTGTCGCAGCGGCAGAGAACCAACTTCGTGTGCCTTCATATGCGGCATGATGCAATTATATAAGGTGGTCGCGTCGGCTGCCGAATCGTTCGGATTTTAGTCCCTTAACGTTCAGTGCGTGCTCGAAGAGAATGGTTGTGTGCGGACGAATTTTTTCGGAAGCCTTAACCCTTGTGCACAACAAAAATTACATATTGTAGTTTTTGCCGCAAGAACGTGCAAAGAACAGTTGCATAACAAAAAATGTTAAACAAAAATTGTTAATGGCTTCCGAAACAGTTACAATTAATTTAGATATAAAAACGTTTTATTTTAAGATTAGAATTTACATATATTAGAATTAAGATCCTTAACAAAAACAAAAACAACGTTTAATTTCAAATTACAAATTATTAAAAATTAAATTTAAAAAAACATCACCACTTTTTTCATTATAACAGCCAACTTTAAGCCCCATGGTTCATGTGAGGGTTAATCAACACGATTTATTGTTAATTCACTCCACTTACTGCGCTGAGTCCTTTCACTCGCACTTATTGTAAGCATTGTTAAGGGACTACTTTTTCCGACGAGACCACATCATGGTATGCTGTATGCATACAAGAGAGCGGCTGGCTCTAGAGCGCTCTCTCTCTCTCTATAAAATTTCAAGAGAGCCTGGAACCAGCTCTAAAGACAGCCTGAAAAATTCGTGTGCAAAAATTTCGTATGGCGTTATGTATCTTATTATACCCGTACTCAAAAAAGAGTTAAGGGGTATATTAGATTTGTGGTAAAAGTGGATGTGTGCAACGCAGAGAAGGAAACGTTTCCGACCCCATAAAGTATATATATTATTGATCAGCATCAATAGCCGAGTCGATATAGCCATGTCCGTCTGTCCGTCCGTCCGTCCGTCTGTCCGTCTGTCCGTCTTGATGAGCGCCTGGATCTCAGAGACTATAAGAGCTAGAGAAACCAAATTTGGTTTCCAGACTCATGTGATATCACACTGCTACAAGTGTATTTCAAAATTTCGCCCCGCCCCCTTCCGCCCACACAAAAGACGAAAATCTGTGGCAGGCACAGTTTTAAAGATACGATAAAACTAAAAACGCAGTATCGTAGAGAATGCCCATATCTACCAGATTGCCGAATCTGAATCAGATCGGATCATAATTATAGCCAGAATGAAGAAATTAATTTTCAGTTGCTTCCCCTGTCCCCCTCCATCAAACAACAACGCAACTCATTTTCCTTCTCGCTCGCACACTCTGCCGCGTTCAGTGCGCGAGCAACCCCTAGCGGAGGAGATGTAGAATATGAATGGAACATGTACAATCTACATGTTAGATGTAGAATAGACATTGTATATGTAGATGTAGATATCAGATGTAGCAAAAAAATGTAAAATGTAAAATTTTTTTTTTTTTTTAATTCTATAAAATCATAAGCTCAAAAATGTATATACTGACTGAGTACGGGTATAAGTAGAGTCGTGTCCGCAGAAACGACTCACACGTTCCTTCTCGTTCTTATATTGTCTTTGATTAGACTTAGACAATTTTGCTGAGTAGAGAGGGATAGCATGAGAGACAAAATGCAACATTATTGTTCGTAGCTGTCTCTAGATACGTTTAATGGCTTTTAGTAGAACAACTGAGGCACTTCCCACAGAATGATGTTTTCCAGCAGGACACAGACACCAAGCCAGCAAAATTGTATCCGCAAAGTTTAATTTTCGATAAATTCTGTTGTAAAGTGGTTATAATTTCCGAACTTCCACTTAGATTTGTGGTAAAATTGAATGTGTGTAACGCAGAGAAGGACAAATTTCCGACCCCATTCAGTATATATATTCTTGATTAGCATCAATAGCCGAGTCGATATAGCCATGTCTGTCTGTCCGTCCGTCTTGTTTGTCGCCTAGTTCTCAGAGACTATATGAGCTAGGGCCACCAAATTTTGTTCCCAGACTCGTGTGATATCACACTGTTACAAGTGTATTTCAAAATTTCGCCCCGACCCCACAAAGGACGAAAATCTGTGGCATCCACAGATCAAGAAACGACGATACTCGTAGAGATTGACCATATTTACCAGATTCCCGAATCTGGATCAGATTGGATCAGTATTATGGCCAGAATAAAGAAATTAATTTTCAGTTGTTACCCTCCAGCGCTGTATCACTACACATTCTCTTTCTTTCTCGCACACTTTGCCTCGTTCAGTGCGCAAGCGGAGGAGATGTAGAATATACATGGTAGATGTAGATTTAGATGACAGATGTAGCCAAAAAATGTAAACTGATAAAATAGTTTAAAATTCCACATGAATCATAACCTCACATACATATATACTGACTTAGTTTAATTACTAAAAGTAGTCGCTGCCACAGCGCATTGTGTGACCGAGAGATAGAATGAGTAGCGACTGTAGCTCTGGAAGGGGGTGGGGTAGCAACTGAAAATGAATTTCTTCATTCTAGCTATAATAATGATCCGATCTGATCCATATTCGGCCATCTAGTATAAATGGTTATCCTCCACGTTGCACACATCCACTTTGGCCACAAATCTAATATATACCTTAACTCTTAGAGTACTGGGTATAAAAATGAAAAAAGAGGAACAATAATAATACATATTGATATTAGCAAGGTTTGTATTGAGTAAAAAGTCATTAAAAATTAAGGTTTAGAGTTGCGTATATTTAATTACGACTTTATATATACAAACACAATTCGCATGTTAAAAATAATACAAATAAATGTATTTAAAAATAAACAAGCAGTAGTTGTTCACATTGGGTATACCTACATACGAGTATGTTCACGATGCAGGAAAAGATATGCGATATACCATTATATCTTTCCTCCGCACGGAGTTCTTCTATTTTGTTGCTAAAACATTTCCTGTCTATGAGGTGGGTGTGATTTAGTTGTTGATGTGTTCAGGTGTTATCGATCGGCCAAGCGTGACCACATTCATATAAATGGAGTGCAATCTCGGCTTGTCGCAGCTCACCCCACCACTGAATTTCTACAGTAGATCTGTTTCATGTTGGCTTGATAAGCTCACGCTTTTTAGAAGTTTTTAATTTGTTAATATTGATTTTTATTCTAGTTTCTGTTTTATAGAACTCATTTTTTATTTGAAGGTTTTTCTTTTGTTACTTGTGTTGCAGTTTCTGTTGTTGATGCTGTGGTTTTTTATGTAATGTAGCAGTCTTCTTTTGTCTTAAGACGCTGCCACTGCTGTGGCCGAAACTGGTGAAATCGCTTCACTGGAATCGACATGATTCAATTGGAGTTGTTCCTCTTCAGCGCGTAACTTGGCAGCCTCTTTCTCTTGTAGTTGTGCCTCTAGCTCCTCTATTTTACGAAAGATGCGAGCGTATTGAAAACGTTGTTGACACGCTTGCTGATATGCAGCGGCTGCCTCCTCACACTCTCCAAACACATCCCCGTCCCGCAACGCGGTGTAGACTTTGATGGCCTCCTGTGGAATTGAAAAAATTAGTGCCAAATGACCACGTTCTTAGTGTAATCGAATATTACCTCTAACCGTAGCTTTTTCTGATTAAAGCTGGTGACCAGCTTGATAGCGGTATCCTTTTTACTAGCATCTAGCTCGAAGAGACTACGTGCCCCTTCATACAAGTGCAGTATGGATTCGTTGTGCTTTGCAATGAATTCATCGTTGAGTTGCTGGAGTGTCTTGCTGCCTATCAGTTCTTTGGTAGCCTTGTTAAGCACCTGTTGGACGTGTTCGTTGAAAGGCTGCTGCTTAAAGGCGCTGGACAGCGATTTCATAAAACGAATAATGCAACTATGGATCTCAGGGTGCGCTATATTAACGGCACGGGCACGCTGTATGGACTGAAGCATCAATAGCAGCTTGTTTTTACGATAGTAAACCTCGAAGGCCAGTAAATGCGTTTCAATGCGTTCTTTGGCTAGCTGCTGCAACGGCTTTAGAAAGTCAATAGCCCTTTCTAAGGGTTCGTCTGTCCGCTCCAACTTCTCTGCCACGAGCTCGTCCAGTTGCGGCGCATCAGGATCGGTTTCCTGACTAGCCTGCTGCTTGGATTTCTGATGCTGTTCGCGCTTCACTTGTGCTTGCGCGGCCTGCGCGCTCTCAAGCTCAGCTTTCTTTTTTGCCTTGCGCTGTTTGCTGCGCAGCTTCTTCAGCTCAGACGGGGGAAGGTTTTCTGTTTCAGAGCAGAGAAACGTGTTATTAAAAAATAATATTGCCTGGTGCATTATAAGTTTCAGTTTTAACATACCAATGTCAATCTCTTCAATGGTCGCTTCCGACTTGAGAGGTTTATCATACAAACGTAGGTACACCTCAATGGCGCACTTGGAAGCCTTGAAGTAGAATGGATGTTGGCGCAGGACATCCTCCAATCGCAACAGGCCGACGTAGGCCCGAAGCGTCATCTTGCGCATGCAATATGTATGAAAATCAAACTGATCCTCGACAATCTCGGCAAAATGACGTTCTACTTCGTGGCACTTTTTTAATGACTCGCCCCAACGACCCATGCGTTGGTAAGCTAACGCACATTCCGTTTGAAACCACATGCACTGCATCTCATTTAGATTATCCATTGCAGAGACACCCTCTCGAGTAAACTTAGCACAAATTTCCTCCGCCTCCTGCACCATGTTAGCGCGCAGCATGTACTTTGCGCATTTTGAATTGATGTAGCTATTTAAAATAAAAAATTGAAATTATCAAGAAGCATACATAATAATTATAATATAAAACTAGTCCATTTTAGGGTACGAACTTCAAGCGAATCGATTTTTTTAGGGTCCGTTTAGGATAGAGTTTAACTTGGAATTTGTGTATAATTGATAAAATGAAATACCTACCGATCGGCTGTATCCATACTCTGAGCCTCCTCCAGCCAGACGTAGGCTTCAACGGCATCGCCGGCATGCTTGAAAATACGTCCCTTAGTTATAAGAAGTTCGATTAAAGTAGGTGTGTGGTCGATTGCGACATTAATGTACTCCAGAGCCCGATCTGTGTCCCGCATGTAGTCATAGTGCTGCGCCAGAAACAGAGCCGTCCACACAAGCGCCGAGGCTGGCTCAACGGGCGCCCCAGCATCAGAATCCTCGCGTGAGAAGTGCCCAGAGCGAGACAGATTCTCAAAGTAGTGCAACGTGAGTTTTTCGATAACAGTCGCTTTTTCAGACTCCTGATGAAGGGTGCGCACGTTAACAAAAAGCGGCGGAATGCCCTTGCGGAGGCCGCGGCGCAAGTACTCGTCGGCTACCGTTCGGAACTCCGAGCCACTGGCAACGTTCAACGGCAGACGGCGGGGGCAGAGCGCGCGTGGATACTTCTCCTGGAACTCACGATAAACGGCCACGACAGCGCTGGATTCTGAGACCTGTCTTGCGGACAGGTACTGTTCGTAGTAGAGGACGTTTTCGGGATTGCGACGAATCAAAGATTCAAAGATGGGCACCGCCATATCATGCTGCTGCAACTGAATGTACAAATCGCCCATTGTCTCGCGCACGGCTAACTTATCCACAATCTGTGCGTTGTACTTGATCAAATGGTCGAGGGCCTGCTCCAGACGCGATGATTCGATGAGTATCTGGTTCTGATAAAGAAGCAGCTCCGAATGGCGATAGTCGTGCGCCTCCTGCCAGCGGAGTGAGATCGAAAAGATGGAAATTGGGAAACAGATTATAAGAATGGAATTAAAAGGTTGTTTCCTGCTACATACAATCGATGTCTGAGACTGACTAAACGTTTCCAGTATGTTGTTGGCCATTTCATAGTCCCTTAGTAGATGATAGCTCATGGCAAACCCAATCCAGGAAGCGTGTTGAGAGGGCCGCAGCGTAAAAAGATGATGACGGGTCTCCTTATACCCCTCCAGATCACGCATTTGTATCTGAAGCAGCGACAGATCCTTCAGAATCTGCAGATTGTCCTTTTCCCACTTAAGGGCATTACGGTAGCACTTAATGGCCTCATCGTATTTCTTATCACTCCTCTGGAGAAGGCCATAAACATGCCAGCAGACATGAGAGCGAAGATCGTTGCGCAGACCCAAGCGCACATACTTGTATGCCTCTTCGCGCCTCCCCAGCCCGTTAAGAGTGAGACCTTTCATGGCCAGTGTCTCTCCGTGTTCCATGTACTTGGGGTTTGATAGTATTTGCTTTGCCAGCTTGAGGCCATTTTTGTACTGCTTGAGTTCGTAGCATTTCTGATTAGAGGCAAAGAAGCAAATAGTAGAGGCGTAGCATTGGTTAATTAGTCAATAACATTTTATACATCCCGCCCAATGAAAAATTTTGAGGTTATGCGACCGACGAGAACACCAAACAATAAAACATAGTGCAATATAAGTTTCGGATTCAAGAGTTCGTACTTCCCAATTGGAATATATGTAGTTGGTTGAGCTTTAGCTTTGGCTATTTCCGCAGCAGTGCCTAAAATAGGCACGCCATAAAAAAAAGCACATGGATGTGGACGGCAAGCGTTACCAGTCGGAAGCCGGCAATTTTTTGACTAGCAAGTGTGTGGACAAAAATATGAGATGTTTATGACTTACCAGTAGCTTTCGGAAAAGCGCACCCTCCTTGGGCGGCAGTGGATCACTGGAAGGCATCTCTACAATGCTTCTTCTTCAGCTGCTGACGGTTGTCTTGCCTTTAGACCGAACTGAGCTTGGTTGTTGGAAGTGATAATGCTTGGACGCGACTGACGACTGAGACTTCTGCGGGAGGTATTTGAAGGAAAATGGAATAATCGGTTATTAATTTAAAGAATTTTCATGTACCAAATACGCACGCACAGCAAAAAAAAAACTTTTGCTAGCACGAGCAAAATTTTTAACTTAATGGGGAGACAGCAACACACCAGGAACTAGAACTATACACATGCACGCGACGTGGGCGCGTTTCTCCCTGAATGACAATGAACAAGGTGATGGGGAATGTATAAAGAAGAAGATATATTCTCAAAACTTGTTATGTAAAACGGTTGGTTATTAAATTAAATCTGCCCTATACCATAAATTATATGAAACCGGAAAAAAAATTGTAAGACTTTAATTTTCCCTTCTTTCTTGGTTGCTCACGTTTAATTTAAAACTAGAACCACAATTCAACACAAAAATGTTGTCCACAGCAATGAGCCATTCACCATAGTTGGCCTCAATCAGCTGTCGTCATCCTCATATCGATAGCTTAGCTGAAAAATATCGATATGAACTAAACCTCGGGGAGAGGAGAAGGAACGGAACCAAAAATTAATAGCAACAATGAATTCTCTGGCTAGAATTGGTGGTTTCGCTTGTGAAGCCGGGAAAATCGCCGGATTTGGCGTAAGTTTATAATAATTTAAAATCAATCTTTAAAATTTAATGAGCCTTCTTTCCGTACACACGCAGTTGCAGCAAGTGCGAACAAAGTATGCCGACTGGAAAATGATCCGGGATGTCAAGCGCCGCAAGTGCGTTAGTGAGCATGCCAAGGAGCGGCTTCGCGTTAATTCACTTCGAAAAAACGACATACTGCCCATTGAGCTGAGGGAAATGGCCGATGCCGAGATTGCTGCCTTTCCCCGTGACTCTTCGTTGGTCCGTGTTCGAGAACGTTGCGCACTTACGTCACGGCCGCGTGGAGTTGTCCACAAATATCGCCTCAGCAGGATTGTGTGGCGACATTTGGCAGACTATAACAAGCTATCCGGTGTGCAACGTGCCATGTGGTAGCATCTAAGTAAATCTTCTTTGTATTTGAATTCTTTGCTTGTGTTAACAATTTATACAAAAAAACAGTAAACGTATAGTGGTCGCATTCCACTACACTTCTAGTTGTAAGCCTAGTACTCAGACGCGCTAAATTTTCCGTCGAACGAAAGTGCTATATATTCCGCTCGGTGCCCAGTGTGATCAAAGTGGTCAATCTGCGTGTTTTTTTACAAACAGAAATCTGTTAAAATTTCAAATTTTTTATTAGAGCAAGCAGAAATGTCTTATTTGTGGGCGCTGTGGAGCTGGAGGACGATAATGCACACTGCAATATTGGATAAATCCTATCCTGAAGGACAGATATGCAATCAACATGGGTTTATTTAATTAAAATGAGACCCGGGTATAAAATTAATAAATAATAATAATAAAATCCATATAATCTGTTTTCATTCGACTGCCTTAATTCAATTTACTTTGTCTTCCTTCCATTTTTAAGTGTGTGTGTGTGTATGTGCCTTTTGGACTACGAAAAATAGAATATTTCTATTTTCCGCTCGAGATGTGAAAATACTATCGGTTGCTTTTCTAGTATGTAGTCTGCTGCGAAATTTTCGGTCGACCGAACACAAACGCAAACATTTCAAAATGAAAACACAAAACCAAATTAAATATTTAAATAATGAAGAAAAATATAATCTAATTAAGGCAGCTATATGAAGAACAATTATATGGACATAAAAATTGATTATTTTTATTGATTATTATGAATATAAAAATATAATGTTTTCAAAACATGTTTTCTTCATGGTGGTCGCCGGCGGCTGCACGGGAGGTCTCGCCATCTGCTGCTGCTACTAGCCAGACACATTCCTTTGCCAATAAAATATTGGGGAGCCCAGGTAATGCCTGGGGAAGAGCGACCCCAGCCGAAGAAGGCATTTCATTAACTTTGTTTACTTTAAATAAAACCAAGCAGCTGTCAGAGCAGTGTAGCCGTACGGAATGCAGTGCACACCTCTGGTCACACCACTGGCCATACTAGGCTATGTGAGTACTAGGCTGAACTGAGTACTAGGCTTCATGCTTTTTATAGTTTTAATCGATCTGCAGTCAGCAAGCATCATCGAAATGATATGAACCAACAAACCACCAACGCTATCTATCTATGTGTTTGTATCATATACGGTCGTGAAGTGTAGTGGAATAATTTTACTGAGGACGAGGACGATGTTCACCTGAGTTTGAATCACTATGTCAAAGAAATCAAGCAAAACAATGGGATTGCTCAATCTAGTGGACTTTAGTTTTTTGGAACTAAAGGTTGAGCTCAATTCCATTCTGAAGGTAAAAAGTCGTCAACAGCTAAGTTTTGTCGAGAACGAGCCCGACTTCTGGAAATTTGTAAAGAAATATGAGTGCATGTTGCGTAGTATGGGCCAGACAGTTCTTGCGCAAGTTTTGCCAGAGCAAGAGCTTGTAAGATCACAGCCATATCACAGGAGCAAGCACCTGGCTATTCAACTGGATGAGTGTGCCCTGCGCCAAGAACAAGACAACATTAGCGAGGTGAAGGCGCAATTGCAGCAGCTACTGCTTATCTACCTTGACTTTAAACAAAAAGAAAAGTTTAAACGTATTAAGAAACTGCGCCAAGCGCAGCGAAATTTACCAATTGCCCGCTTCAAGGGTGATTTGCGTACGGCAATGGGCTCGTCCCGTGTGGTCATTATCGCGGGCGACACAGGATGTGGAAAGTCCACACAAGTTCCGCAATTCCTCTATGATTTTGGCTATCGCAGCATAGGTAAGTAAGTGCTTTGAAGCTATTCCAGTAGCCAGGCTAATTCCTTTTTATACAAATTTAGCGTGTACGCAACCGCGCCGCTTGGCATGCGTATCGCTGTCAAAGCGAGTGGCTCATGAACTGCTGGAAGACTTCGGCAGCAAGGTGGGCTTCCAGATTCGGTTCGAACGAAGGAAAACACAGCACACGAACATCCTGTTCATCACGGAAGGTCTGTTACTTCGCCAACTTGCGATTTCTTCTAACTTAGATGATTATGACGTGCTCATTCTGGACGAGATACACGAGCGGAATCTCTTTGGTGACTTCCTGCTAGGTGTGAGCAAATGCCTGTTACGGAACAAGCCGCAACTAAAACTAGTCCTTATGTCGGCCACCATCAATGTGGAACTGTTCCAATGTTACTTTAAAGAGGAGGGAGCACGATTGGTGCAGGTGCCGGGACGCTTGTTTCCCATAAAATTGCGCTACATGCCATCCCCAGCGATAGAGCTGACAGCCGGCCAAGCCACGGCGAGGTCTAATCGTTCGAAGGGAACGCGTATCGACCCAGCTCCATTCGTGCAAGTTCTTAACCTGATCGACCAGCAATATCCCCGTAAGCCTTTACAACCAAAATGAACGATTATACATTGTTGAGTCCTTCGGACTTCACTTTCAGCCACGGAGCGCGGTGATGTGCTCATCTTTGTTAGCGGCGTTAGCGAGATCGACACCGTTTGCGAGGCTATACAGGAGTACGCCACCCACCAAACGCACTGGCTCGTCCTGCCACTTCACAGCGGACTGGCACTGGCCGAGCAAGACAAGGTGTTCGATTATGCACCCGAAGGCACGCGCAAGTGCATAGTATCCACGAATATTTCCGAAACTTCATTGACTGTGGACGGTGTGCGGTTTGTAGTCGATTCGGGAAAGGTCAAAGAGATGAGCTACGATGCAGCGTGTAAGGGACAACGCCTGAAAGAGTTCTGGGTGTCCAAATCTTCGGCAGAACAGCGCAAGGGTCGCGCAGGTCGCACAGGGCCAGGTGTAAGCTGAATAATCCGACGAGTGGAGTAGTCCCAGCTCTTATCTATTTCTGCTTACTTCCCTCAGTTCTGTTTTCGCCTCTACACCCAGCAGCAGTTTGATGCATTCGAGCCATATCCTGCTCCAGAAATCTACCGCGTCCCTCTGGACAATATGTTGCTGCAAATGGTATCCATGGGACTGCCTGACGTCAGAGCCTTTCCCTTCATTGAGCCTCCGGAATCAGAGCGCATCGAACAGACAATTCTAGCACTAAAGCAGCATGTAAGCATCCTTATAGCTATATTTTTTTTAAAAGTGGAAGATGGGCTTTTATCTCACCAAACTTAATTTAACAAGAAATAATTACAAAACGTGGAAAAACGAGAAGGAACGTGTGAGTCGCTTATGTGGACGCGACTCTACTTTTATACCCGTAATTAGTCAGTATATAAATATGTGAGCTCATGATTTATGTAGAATTTTAAAATATTTTACATTTAAAATTCTTTTGTTACAAAATATCAATTTCTTCAAGGTGACAAAAAAATTCAGTTTATTGCTAGATGAATGTGAAAAAAAAGGCAGGGATCATCAGTTTGCTAAGCAATTAAGCAATTCAATTTTATATCAAGTCAAACTAGCCAGTTAAAAAATGAAACGAGAAGGAACGTGTGAGTCGCTTCTGTGGACGCGACTCTACTTGTATACTCAGTCAGTATATATATTTGTGAGCTTATGATTTATGTAGAATTTTAAAATATTTTATATTTTGCATATTTTTTTCTACATTTGTTATCTACATCTACAATGTCGAGTACACATCTAAAATGTATATTCTAAATATACAAATAGATCCAACACCTCCGCAATGGTCGCGAATTTCACAGGGAAGAGTTTGTGCGAGCGAGAAAGAGAATAAGCAGAATAAGAATAGCGTCTGCAGCGCCGGCTATAATAATGATCCGATCTGATTCAGATTCGGCAATCTGGTAGGTATGATCTTCCATACGAACGGACAGACAGACATTGCTATATCGACTCGGCTTTTGATGCTGATCAAAAATATATATACTTTATGGGGTCGGAAACGTTTCCTTCACTGCGTTACACACATCCACTTTTACCACAAATCTAATATACCCCTTAACTCTTCGATTACGGGTATAACAAGCACAAACCACACAATCAATATATAAGAAAATAGGAAGTAAATGTACGAATTTCTTTTGTTTCTATCCACTAGGGTGCCATTAGCATTGAGGAGAAGATCACCCCATTGGGCAGATCGTTGAGCAACCTGCCAGTGGAACTATCCATTGGCAAAATGCTCCTAATGGGCTGCGTTTTCCCAGAGGTGGATCAGCTATTGACGCTGGCCGCCATGCTTAGCGTGCAAAATCCGCTTACCAGCCGTGCTTACACGGACCCGCGCTGCGAACGGGAACGTCAGCATCTAGAATCCGCTCAGGGAGATCTCTTCACTCTGATGAGCGCCTACCGCGAGTGGCTGCAGTTGAAAATGGTCCGGGATAACACCAGGAAATGGTGCCATCGTCTAGGCATTGAGGAACAACGTTTCTACGAGGTAAGCAAGCTGCGTCAGCAGTTCCAGCGTATCTTGGAGAGTTGTCGCATGGCTCCCTCCAGCACTTCTGGCCCGCTGACTAGTGCTGAAAGATCCAGACGCCACGGTGAAGTGCGTCAACTAAAGACCCTCAAGCGGCGCCATCGGTTTGAGCATCCCCGACACCCCAAACTACTCAAGCACCAGCATAGCGGGGGACAATATGACGAGATGGATGAGAGCTGCGAGGACATGCGTGACGTAGACTTTCGACTGTGTCACGATGCCCGCCAGCTCGCACTACTTGAGCGCTCGTCACGTCTGGACCTCAATGGGGATCTGATTTTGCTGAAGTTGCTACTGGTAAGCGGCTTCTACCCACAGCTGGCTATCGGTGATGTGTTCAACTACTGCAAGGGAGGCGGGCAACAGTTCTTTCATAGCCGACTAAAGCCATTCCTCTCTTTGCATCCGAACTCCCACTTTGCCAAGTACTACGACTACCTTAGGCTCGCTGAAAGTGACCTAATATCGAAGCCGGACTACTACACACCAAAGCATCCGCTCAGTGAGCGCCATCAGCTGCTGTGCTATCAGTAATTAACCGGCAACGACGCCAGAAATAATAAATACTTTATAACCAGGCACTTGCAGGTCACTACTTGAGACTGCGAAGCCATACCTGATGAGCTGCATTCGTCTGCCAGTGGCCCACACACTTCTCCTATTTGGCTTCGCGATCGATACGAACGCAGGTTTGACACAGATGGTCTTCGACGAGTGGCTCTGTCTGGATTTCCCTGTGCCTGGTAGTGGGATGAAGCTGCTCTGCCGATCCATCAAACTGCGGCGCCGTTGGAGCAGCCTGCTGTATAACAAGCTTGATGGTGCGTGGCCCCTCCTGGGGAGAAATCGTTAGTATTTTAGTTCTTACGTTAACCAACCCTTTTTTAGAGCTCAACATTAGCGACACAGCTTCAGCTGTTACTAACAAAAATATCACATTTTGGCACGATCTTATCGACTTCATGAGACTGGATGTGCCGTACGCCGTTAGTCGACTGCTGCCAGCTGATCTCAAGAGGCTCTACACACACCAAACATCAATACCGCGCCTTGAAGAGCTACAGGAAAATCCCTTTGCCATCGACTATCCTCTGAGTCCCAACATGGCCAAGGGCGGCATCAACGTTTCTGAAAACGTCGTGTACGGCTGTCTCGTGGACCAGCCGTGGACACTGGCTATGCAAGCGGCACTCCTGGCACGGGCCTGGCAGTGCCCAAAATGCGACTTTAAGATGAACAAGTTTGATGTGCTCGAACAGCTAGTGCATCGTCTACAGTGCAAGGAGGAGCAGAGACGTCGTAAGCTAGCCAGCCCAGTACAGGAACAACAGTCACCCAAAGCTTCTAACGGACACTACTTTTGTGAGAGCTGCAAACGCCATTTGAGTATTTTCCCAATCGACATTCTACGACATCGACGACAGTGTGTGAAAGACAAAAAGTAGTGTCGTACGAGATAGAGAAATACTTTTCCTACGATTATTCAGCCTTTACGGCGACCAGTAAATATCTATTTATTTACATTAGCAATTACGTAAATCCAAAAAACAGTAAAAATCCGATTCTTAGCAACTGATGCCGCGCTGTTAGCGAACAGTTCACAAACATTAAAGTTGTTCCTAAATGAGCATCAAAAACCAAACTATATACAGTGATGGAAAAAATAATAGAAACGGCATGCGCATTCAAATTTGAAACCAAATATTTCATTTTTGGAGCAAATTTTTTGAATAAAAACAACTGTGCTTAGTGTCAGGATAATGGGTGTTTACTTTGGATTCTCTTTGGGGCTCCTTTCGGAAAAATTATAAGCTAGGTACACTAATTTGGGGGAAGATCACGTTTTTGTCTTGGAAAAAAAAATAGAAACGCATTCCAATTTTGTTCTTATATTGTAATAAAACGGTTAAAATCGAATTATATAGGTAATATATTATCGCCAACAGACAAAAGAAGATATGAAATACCTATTTCTAAGGATTCCGTTTTTGTTGTTGTTATTATTCGGTTCAGAATGGGTCGTGGAACCCATGTTGCGGGCTTTCATATGCGTGTGTCTCGCTATTTTTTGTAGTAAATCGAAGTAAACACTTTTTTAAATCCATATCCTAAATCTAAAAACTGAAGGCCACACAAGGTCAGATGGTCACACATATCTAAAATGGATTTAAAAAAAGTGTTTACTTCGATTGACATGTGTGACCATCTGACCTGTGTGGCCTTCAGTTTTAGATTTAGGATATGTTTTTTTTAATATTATTGTAGGGATATTAAAAAAAACATCCTAAATCTAAAAACTGAAGGCCACACAAGGTCAGATGGTCACACATATCTAAAATAGATTTAAAAAAAGTGTTTACTTCGATTTACTACAAAAAATAGCGAGACACACGCGTATGAAAGCCCGCAACATGGGTTAATTTCGACAGGCGCATTGTTCGAAAATCCAAAAAAAATCCCTTTCTGTCGTTGATAGATCTGAAAAATGATCTTAAAGCACGGGTTAGTAGTCGTACTATAAGGAATAGGCTGATTGATGAAAATTTAAAAAGTCATATAGCTCAAAAAATATAACACTACTTTCCAAAAAAAGTTTAGAAACCGAGTAAATTTCGCGAAGGTGCATTTATGCCGTCCAAGTTACAAAAATGTGTTAAATTCATATGAAACTAAGGTAAATGGGCTTATATTTGTTGGGGCACTTCATATAAGGCATTTTAATACTACTTCTCACGACCCAGGTATTCTGTTAAAGCGGGTATGCATGGTGGTGGGCACATAATGTTGTGGGGAACCATTCGGTTATTGGTCCAATACTTTGGATATAGAAAAAAATGTGTGCCTCCGACTATGTAAATATACTCGACAGTATAATTCTGAGTAGGAAATACCATTAAAGTGGTAGTTCGATCAGGATAATGACCCGAATCACTCCTAAATGCTGACCAAGAAATGGTTCCTGGACAAAGAAGTTTCCCTGATGGATTGGCCTGATGGAATATCAGACTTTAATCCTATAGATTACCTTTAGGAGATCTTAATGAAAAGGACTGGTGGCTATAAGACCAAAAATAAGAATGATTTTTGTCAAAATGTTAAGTCCGAATGGTTCTCCATGGATCCATCCATTTATGACGAACTGGTGGAGTCCATAGGCTCTCAGATAGGTCGAAGTCACTAAAAATCGCGGTATCACATCCAAATATATAAGCTAAAAATTAACCGGTTAGTAGGTTAACTTTTTTGAAGATAAAAAACAATTTTTCATAGCTTTAAGTCGGCCGTTTCTATTATTTTTTCCAGGCCCTAAAAATGAAAAAATTTATTTTTGCTACGCTAATTTTTTTAAAGTTATTATTTTGTTATGTTTTGATACATAAGAGAACATAAGATACATATAGACTATTAATCAAAATTATTTAACTTTAAATATACAAATTTTGACTGAAGAAAATTTTAAAAAATGCGAAAAAAAATTGTCGTTTCTATTATTTTTTCCATCACTGTAGGTACATGTGCAATCTTATGACTTATTTAACTTATGCTCTCATACCGTCTATCCTCTTTCGACCTAATGAAGAGTATTCTATCTGTTTCCATACCACACATTGCGTTCTATCTCTCTCTCTCTCTATCTTCCCACCAACAAAGTGCATTTCGGCAGTTACATATTTCTTGGTCCAAATCTGTTATTTGGTAGATAACATACATAGCTCTTTATAATTTTGAATTTTTTGGTTCTCTGGTATCTTCAAAATTGTAGTCTCTGAGAGATAAGTAACAAACCAGACGGACCGACAGGCAGACAAGGCTATATTGACTCGGATCAATAGCCGAATCAAAAGCTGATAAAGAATATAGGTGAATTAAATTGATTAATCAATCAATCCCTTATTCTCATTGCTTTTATGATGTGTGCTTCTTTGAGCCTCGAAAAATTAGGTTCTTTTCGTGATTATTTTAAAGTGAACTGTTCTCACTAGAAAGTATGAGTTATAATAAAATTTTGAAAAAATAAGTCTTGACTTTGAAGAAAAATCTTGTCCGATTATGCGATTGAGATATTGTACATACATCTACATAAATCTAATATACCCGGATAATCTTTAAGTACCGGGTATAAAAATTAATTCTATGCTAATAATTAAGTTTTTCAATGTATAACTAACGAGAAGGAACGCGTGAGTTGCTTCTGGGGACGCGACTCTACTTTTATACTCGTACTCAGTCAGTATATAAATTTATGAGCTTATGATTTATGTAGAATTTTCGAAAATTTTAAATTTGTTTGCTACATCTGTTATATACATCTATTACTACAATTAAGATGTAGATTATACATGTACCATTTAGATCTAAATCTTCTCCGCTAGCAGAGTGTGCGAGCGAGAAAGAGAATGAATGGTGGGTCTCTTGCTGGAGGAGGTGGGGGAAGCAACTGAAAATTAATGTCTGCATTCTGGCAATAATTTGATCCGATCTGATTCAGATTCGGCAATCGGTCATATCGGCAATCTCTACGATACTGTGTTTTTCGTTTTATCGTATCTTTAAAATTGTGCCTGCCATAGATTTTCGTCCTTTACGGGGCCGGGCCAAATTTTGAAATACACTTGTAGCAGTGTGATATCACATGAGTCTGGAAACCAAATTTGGTTGCTCTAGCTCTTTTAGTCTTTGAGATCTAGGCGTTCATCAAGACGGACAGACAGACATGGCTATATCGACTCGGCTATTGATGCTGATCAAGAATATATATACTTTATGGGGTCGTTTCCTTCTCTGCGTTGCACACATCCACTTTTACCACAAATACAATATACCCCTTAACACTTTTTGAATACGGGTATAAAAAGGCGATGCATAAAAGCTCTTCTGGACAGACAAAGATTATCTGAAGAGAAATTTTTGAAATAATGTAGGGTTGAGGTTCTTTATAAGCGACGTAAGATGATAACGAAATGTATAAGTGGCTATATACACATAATAATATAAAGATAATGAATTTCAATGAGCTGTCTGTGATTCTTAAGTCTCCTTTGTCTTCCTATTTTGAGTTCAATGAATAATATAATCCAAATCGAATTTTGCGCCAATGCGAGGCACTCGTTGTTTCCTCATCTTTAACTACACAAAAAAGAAAGAGACACATAGAGAAAGGTTGAGTGAGCGAAACAGCGTTTTATGGGATTCCACCTACTTGGGCTGCAGTGGATTCTGCACCAGCACCAGGATCTTCACCGACCTTCGCAGCTAAGATGGTACTACATTTAGCTTGTGATGTCGACGGCTGGAAAAATAGAGGTATCACATTATTAAGAGATATAGTCCGTGGATTGCTTTGGTTCTTACTTCAGTGTTCAGTATTTGCTTAAGTGTAGAAGTCCCTTCGTTTGGTACTGCTTCCCGATGACTAGCTCGGGAGTTTACATCTCCTGCCGATGTCAACGACGGCTACGAAACAACATGAAACATTGAATTACTTGAAAATTTGTTGAATTAACTCACCATTTCCGCATCTATTTGAACAATTCGTTGAGGGCGCTGCGATATCTTGGGACGATATGCTTGTGTGGGCACAAAGTCCTGAATGGATGAATAACGAGGTCTGGTGCTGATATCCTGCAGTTGTTGGGGATGTTGTGTCTGATACTGTTTTTGCTCAAGTGTTGTCCGAGGGTTGCTGTAGACTTCATGCCCCAGCGTGTTATTATAACATGGCTGATTTCCATTGTAAGTCAATTGATAAATATGGGGGGGCATCTTTTGTGAATGCCACTGTTGTATTTGTTGCTGGTGATTAGGCTGCTGCCGTGGGAGACACGCAGCTTTCTGATGAAGACTTACCTCTGGTGGCTGCATAGATCTAAACCACTGTTGGGTCTGAATGCGGTTGGCTTGTTGTGCTTGCTGTTTTTGCTGCTGAGCCTCCTTCTGCCAAAAGAGCGGAGGCTGTGGCAGTTTCTGGGTCAAAATTACGGGGTTGAAATTGAAAAAAAATTAATCCACACACATTTGACATTTGACTCACAGGCATTTGTCCAGAAAGTGGTTGCTGAAGTATTTGCGATTTAGATATCAGCGGCTGCTGCTGCTGCTGCGAGGAAATACGAGTTACATGGCCAAGTGGCTGCTGCAACGTGTCCTGCTCTTTATTCAAGCCCAGCAGCGACATGAGAGCCAGAGTCTGTTCTTGTGGCGTCGCAATCGCTGGCGATATGTTGGTTGGTTTTGGGTCTGCGCAAACACTGCCTCCCTGAAGTCGCGTAGAACTTTGGCCGCAACTTTCCTTTGCAACCTCCGTTTGCGACTTAGTTGGCAAGGTAGAACGACCCCGATTGGTAGTATAACATTTGGACAGATGCTGGTTAGATCTAAGCGGGAGATCGGACTGCGGCTTGACAAACTCATCGGCTATCTGTGTTTTCATCGTAATTTGATTCCAGTTCGACCCTGCTGCCGTAACGTACCGGCTGCTAGTTGCCGGAGGCTTCTGCTGCTCCTTTTTTGTCTGCTGCTGTTTTTGTGGCTGCCAATTCTGCTGTTCTCGCTTCTCTATGCGTGGGGAATTCGTTTGGTTGGAAAGATAACTTTGGCGTCTTTTCTCAAACTGCAGGCCGGACTGCTGATTCTGTCCATTTTCTAAGCGAGAGAATTTTGGAGATTAGCAGACATCGATTTCTGTAGGTAAGTAGTGAAACAGGTGGGATAAGGTACCTGTTTTTGGCTATGGCTGTGGCTATCGAAATTGACTTCTGTGTAAGAGGTTTGGTGTGCCTGAGCATGCCCCTACTACTCACCATTTGAACAAATTACTACGAGAGCATTTTCTGGTATCTTGTAAACACGCTCCTCTGCTATGCCGTGGATGTCGTTGCAGTTGGGAACGCACTTGTCGAAGAGCACCTCGCAGAAGGTGTCGATGGCATGAACACACTCTAGCCGAACAGGATTGGGGTCACTGACAGGGTGTACGCCAATGATAGTGCCCTTGATGCCGACCGGAACCATGTAGATGGTTCGGACGATTATGACGCGATCGAACAGGCGCGCTGGACGACGGGACTTATACACTTCGGGCAGTGTGACATTTGGTTTAATGAGGAGGTGTGGCTTCACCTGCAGCTTTACATCTTTCACGGGCATCGATCGCAGCTCCTCGGCGGCGCCAATCAGCAGTTCCACGGTCTCCTTACAAACTGTCTTGGAGCCGCAGGCAATGCGGTCCACCTTCATGTGCTGTTGCTGACGGACCCAATTAGCCAGATCCTCAATATTGTGTTGGCCCATGGCATCCGGGTAAATATCCTGTTCAAAAAAGTACTCGTTCCTGTCGTTGCTGACGCCGAAGTAGCTGACCACCTCAGGGAAGCGTTCACAGTATCTTTGCATGAGCTCGAGAGCTAGGCTAGAGTAGAACCACTGGTTGTTTGAGCGACGGCAGTAACCGACCCGCTCCTCGTTTTGTCGGGGATACTTCAGCTGCAGCCCGATATTGTGTTTGGCTACGTTTTCCATCTTTTCGCGCCGTGGTCCGAGCACCACCCAGAAGGTGCCAGTCAGACGACCCAGGGCTCTGCCATTGATGTTCAGCTGGCGGCAGACGTCGAAGGTGTTCATATAGTCCTTGTCGCGTTCCTCCTGCTCCAGTCGGGCCTCCTCCAGGTTCGGCTCGGGATGAACCCGTATATTGACTAAAAAAATACCCAGTTTATATCAAAGCTTGTTGAAACAAATATCAGAAAGCTGCCACAATTTCTACACAACGCTTACCCTGGATGCGTCCGCAGCTATAGACGAGCAGTGGGTCCAGCACAGTTCCCTCGCTACCATGATAAGGACTGCCGATGAAAAATACTAAGCAGCCGGAAGGGAAAAGTTGCTCTATTTTGGAGAATTGCTGGCGCATGTTCTTTTGCACAGACAGCTCACCAACCACGCCCTGAGCAGGGTATTCAGTAATACTGCTGCTCCAAGCATCCTTCATATGTACGGTGCCCTTGGCGCCAAAATCGACGGAACTACCGGCGTAGGTACGCACATATACGAGAACATCGTAGTTGTCGAACTGAATGCCCATGCGCGTACTAAAGCTGTATATAATAGAGTGAATGGCATAGGCATTAGAATCTGACAGCACAGATAAAAAGGCAGCACTCAACTGTTCTTTCAGCGTCTTGCACTCCATATCAAAGCGTCGCGACTCGTTGGAGGACTTTCCCTCCTTGTCGATACACTGACTTCGTGTGGCTACCTTCACAACCTTGGCCATTATTAGATGGGGCCATCCAATGTGCACGACCTGTTCCAAATACCGTGCAGCTATTGCCTCCAAAGAATCATCTATCGCTTGCTTTCGTGGCATCAGCACCATGTTCTGGTTGCGGCTGACTTGCTCGAAGACTTTAACCCGACCGTGCCGCAATTCAAACTAACGAAATAAGATGCACAAATAAGATACCGCGCTTGAATACTAAAATAATACACAAACTCACATTGAAGGCCAGATGCTTCATAGTAGGAAAGCCGGGGAAGAAGACGTGACGAGCCGCATTCGGCATTTCAACACAAACGCTATGGGAGAGATTCAGAGCAATCTCTTCTGCCCACCGGGCCACTTCAGTACAGTTGACGTGCTGCAGAGCCTTCAGCGGTGGCAGGGCTGCCATCGAACCCACATCGTGGGGACTGTAGTCGTACTGGTACATCGGTCCGTGCCTATTTCGAGCTCTCTCCACGGGCGATAGCTGAGCTTCGCACGGCAGCATTGCGCTGAGTAGTAGGCTTTCGTCTATGAACGGTATGAGAACGACGGCCTCCCAGTCGTGCTTCTTGCCATTTAGATCGCTCTTAAATTCCGTGGGGTAAAATTCCGCCAACGGGCTGGTCGGGTTCAGCATAAGGTCGTGATAGGCAGCGGGAAGAAGCTTAAAACTGGCTGCCGGCAAAACAGCGAGCAACTGAAATGGAAAGCTTATATGAGAATTTTGGACTACAAGTAGAGGGGAGCAGCATATACCTGTTCGAAGGGAAGAAATGGCGTCCCTAGCTGAAACTTTATCTGAACAGTCTCGATATTACTCAGGTCACTGATGAAAGGGGCGTAGTGGAAGGGATAGTACCAGTCCCACGATTGCACGCCCCGATAATAATAATCCAGAATCCACTGCAGCGCCGTTACATAGTGGTGCCCCAACTCTTCGATCAGCTGATTCTGTCCCCGCGAGTTAAGATTGAACTTGTTACGGTAATAGTTACGCTTGTAGTTTTGGAACTCTTTTATCACTCCACCTTCTTCGTCGCTTAAATCCTCGTCACTGTCGTCCTTGTAGAGCTACATCAGAGTCGGAATAAACGATGAATAGAGAGACTACTTTTGATAGAAGATTCAGGGAAGAACGGTCTAACCTTTATGCTGTCATCGATCAGGGCTTCCAGGTCAGAATCGTAGTTTTTGGAGGAGGATATCTCTCGAATGTCTATGTCGAAGGCCTCTGTATTGGAATTCGTGTACTTTAGCTCATCGGCGTGCTCTTTGTACTGATCCAACTCTACCTCGCTGAGAGCCGTCATGAAGGTCTGCAGTCGCTGCAGATTGAGTTTTCCGTGCTCGTTGATGTTGCCACCAAGGGAATGGTAAATGCGTATATAGGTCTTGTACAACAGCGGCAGGGCATTGGAGGAGATATGCAGGCAGGGCAGATGGGGAATGAAATCGTTGCCGACCATGAAGCCCATTAGGACCCAGTCATCGATTAGCTGGGCCACATCTAGTTTCTGTTGAGCGGTGGTCAGCTCGTGGAACTCCAGTTCGAGATACTCCCGAAGCAATCCGAGATGCAGGAGAAAGAAGCGCGTCTCCTCTACGGAAGCACGTTTAACATTGCGCCCAAACTTGACCTCCTCGCGTAGAACCACAAAGTGCAGCTCGTGCGTGCACAAACCCAGAATGATAAGATCCGCGTCCAGGCCATACAAACAGTGCCTGGTGTTGGGGTCAAAGTTGGGTTGGGCCTTCATATAGCGAATGTAGTCCATAATCTTGTGTTCACCCTCGCCGGGCGTCTCCTGTCCACTGAGAATCACAGAGCACTTCTGCCAGAGTGGATCTGTGGAGATCTTTGTCTTGAGGAAGCACCGGAGACCCTGTTGCAGCCGCTCCATGAAATCAGTACCTGGCGTGATACAGTTGCTATCAAAGCGCTCGTGCTCCCGACGGTCGCCTCTTTGAAGCGCTTTGGCCTCCAGCAACTCAGCCTCACGAGCAGAGCGGAAGCGGCGACTTCTTTGCTGATTCATTTTCGCCCGCGGTGCAACGCCATCCACAGCCAGGAAGAAGAGTTTCTGAGGTTTAATCAGGTAGAATAGCTTATCCACATAGTTAAATATCTCCTGAAATATCTGCTGCTCCTCCATGTGAAAGTGTATGTTGTTGTCATCCGGATGAGAGCAGTTGTGGACAATGCCATTCATGTCCAGGTAAAGGTTGTCAAATTCAGGAATCTGTAAGCATGAAAAGGATAGGAAACAGCTGATGACGTGTTTGGGGGGAGATAACATTGACCAACAACTTACGCTGTGCTCCCGCGCCAATTCGCTCAGGCACGGATACCTTTCGCTAATATATCGGAAAAACTTCGGAACACCCATGTCAGCTTAAGTGTACAATTTTTATTAAAAAAATCTCAATCAGTTTACAAATATTACTATGCGAATTTGTCCTTTGCTCACGTCACTGTCAATTTTGCAAGAGTAGAAAGGAGCACACATTCCATCCAGGTGTAGCAAATATATCAGTAAAAATATCGATAGATATGTATACAAATCGATATTTGTACTATTTCACGATGATCGTATTGCACTACCCTTGATGTTAAAGCACTCACTATACAGTATATAGATGTTCCAGTTCATAAAACGAAAGTGACACAGCTGAGGTTTCAGTGTACGGTCCCAGGTCTTCGGCTCTGGGACCGACGGCGTTCAGCTCTGGGATCGACCGCGTTCGGCTAATGAATTGACACGAGCCGACTGACAGCAAGCATGCATGTGTGTACGTGTAACACTCAAAAATATATGATTGTATGCATAGAATAATTTTTAGCTGCCGAAAACGATTATTCATGAGATTTCAGGTTACGTTAATGTGTGCGTGCCATGTATTCTCACATACTGTGCTTGTGTGGGTTCTACAATTTTTGGCCGCTTGTACAGCAGACAAAACGGAACATTGTATTGGTGCCAAACACTGTGATACACGTGTACGTGAGCAGCAGGGCAGTAGCAGCGCCTTTTCCTATGCGCAAAAGATAGGGCCGTGCCGAGCCCTGTTTTAAAGCCGTGCGTCTGAGTACTAAGACGCACTAAAATTTTCGTCGACCGAAATCAGGGATGATATTCGTATGAAACCGATAAGAAATCATCCCTGGTTTTTGTTAGACCGAAAATTTCGCAGCAGGCGTTTCGCAGACCGGTACCAGTTCCGAAATAGGCCATTCGATACATACTAGAAGAGCAACCGATGGTATTTTCCCATCTCGAGCGGAAAATATAAATATTCTATCTTTCGTCTTCAAAAAGGCACACACACACGTACACACACACATTAAATATGGAAGGAAATCCAGCTACAAAAGTGCGATAATGAAGACAAATTAAATTTAATTAATGCAGTCGAATGAAAACATATATGGATATTATAATTTATTAATTTTATACCCGGGTTTCATATTATTTATTTAAAAGGAGATAGAAACCAGGTTGAAACCATATCTGTCCTTCAGGATCGGATTTATCCAATATTGCAGTGTGCATTAGCGTCCTACAGCTCCACAGAGCACACAAATAAGACATTTCTGCTTGCTCTAATACAAAATTTGAAATTTTAACAGATTTCTGTTTGTAAAAAAAAAAACGCAGATTGACCACTTTGATCACACTGGGCACCGAGCGGAATATATAGCAATTTCGGTCGACGGAAAATTTAGCGCGTCTGAGTACTAGGCTTGAGGCTCGACTTAACACCATAGTTCCAATAAAATATGCTGTTCCTCATTTCGACCCATCTCTTTTGTATCGATCAAGAACTAGTTCACAAGAACATGTATGTGGCACGTCATTAGCGTTAACTATTGTCAATCATAGCAACCAGCACAGCCCATAATCAATTTGTCAAGCAACAATGGTATGGAAACCGTGGTCCTGCGTAAAGAACAGTAATCACTAAATCTTTCTCTTCACCAGAGTGCCCTGTTCAATTTCCACAGCTTGCTTTCCGTTATCCTGCTTCTGATCTGTACCTGTGCGTATTTGCGGTCTATGTTCCCCAGCATCATCGACCGGAAAAAGACTGGGTAGGACAGGACCCATTAAACACCATCCTTCCGTTCTAATACATATATCTTCATTGCAGCCTACTTGGCACGTTTTGGAAGCTTGCGCGTATTGGTGAGCGTAAGTCGCCCTGGGTCGGTGCCGCTTGCCTGTTGATGGCGTTCACTGTTCTCTTTTGGAGTTAACTTTAAGTTTCAGTAATGTCACTGGACATATTCATGGCTTACAAGCAACAGCCAAATCTGAATCGTATACATTTGTAAATATGGATGTACTTGAGTACTTTCCCACATATTTAACATAAATGTAAGAATTGTAAATATATGTATGTACATATGTACATGCATTGTTTTGCACTGCCCTTGATGTTAAAGCACCACTGGAATTCGATGTAAGCGGACGGTGATTACGATCAATGATTATATGAACTATAATAGTATCTACGGACATTAGCAGTTTCGTTCAAGAGAAGAATACGGTTAGGGATCATACGCATACAGGGGACTTCCCTACCCTGCGTTCACCTTTCACTGCGAGTCGTGACCCACCAGGAGCAAAAGAAACAAACCCGGCATCGCAAAAGCAAGCCCCAACTAAATGAAGAGCATTCAGTTCGTTCAGCTACATTTTGCTTTGTTAAATTCTATTGGAGACGATGCACATTTCCATTTCAAGCTCAACTTTGCAACTCATACATTGAAACGTTCATCGGGACATAAAGAATCTCAAGGCGTGGTTTTTTTTTTGCTCGTGCATTTAAACTTTGATAGTTCACCGAGTGATTAAACTGCCCAATCTACTTGGTAGAGACACGCGTTCGCTTGTTCCAGGAAAAGTTGACCCCGTAGTTCTTGACGCGCTCCTTCTTGGACTTCTCTTCGCCGTCGATATACCAACGCCAGCCGTTGCGTTCACAATAGGTGATGGCTTCGTCTTTGCTTCCGAACTCCACATTTAAATTGGACAACGGGTCGCCACTGTGAAATACGCAAGGTTAATGTGTACTAGGCCATTAACAGTCTTATCGCTATACTTACGAAGAGGCCCAGCCCATTAGAGGGTTTTCCCATCGCTCTCGATTGTCGAACTCAATCTGCCAATTGTTAATGTTGTCGGTGCCGCTTTGCATTGCATTTTTAGGTGGTATGTGAATGCGCACACGACGATCCTTAAGCTGCTCTGCAGGCACTCCGGAAATGGGACTAAGATTTACGGCAGTGGGCACGGTGATCGTTCCGCTCAATTTGTTACGCTGTTCCAACTCCTCGGGACGGGCCAAGGCCGTTTTTATATCGAGTGGAGCGGTATCTTTGGTCGACGCGCAGCGGGAAGTTGCGATTTTCTTGGCGTTTAATCTACAGCACCATCCAAAAACGAATTTAATGGCTAACATATCTAAGATGTGAGAGGTCAGACACTTACAACTGAAAGGACGTAGTCCTGCACATGACTCTGCGTAGGAGCGACATTTTCGCAAGTAGAATTACGTAAAATTTGGAACACAAATCAATCGGTTTTGTTTAGTGTTGGGTCGTTCATGAACGAACGAACAAAAAAGAACTATGAACTTCAGTGAACGAACCAAATAAGTTCCCCTAAATCGTTCTATTTTTTTTTTTCATAATCGGAAATTATATTCCTAGGTATTGATATTCCGTTTAGTATTACTAGCTAGCTAGGACCCTCAGCACTAAAAACATTGATTTATCTGATAAATCAATAAATTTTCAACTAGATTGACTAATTTTAAGCAATTTTATTTAATTGAATTTTTGTTAAAATATTGTTTAAATAAAATATCCAAATATATTGCTACATGGCAACTACACATTTTACTACATGGCAACTACTATATAGACACCAATGGCCGTAAAGCCGAGTACTCAGTACCGAAAAAACTGCTCATCAGCCAAATCAGGGCATTCGTATGAAACCAATACATAAAAAAGATCGGTAGATATTAGAAAAGTATCCGATGGCATTTGCTTGTTTTTTTTTGTTATGTTTAGACCCACCTCGAAAATTATATCAATTTGATATATTTTGCCAGCAAACACGAAGCAAACATTGCAATAAGAGTACAAAAAACCAAATGAAATATTTTAATAATGAAAACAAATAGAATCTAATTAATGCAGTATTATATGAATGACAATTATATGGATATTATAATTTATTATTTTTATTAATTTTCATGAATATAAAACAAATATTGTTTTCAAAACTTTTTTTCTTCACGGTGTCCGGCACGAGTGGCGTCGTCATCTGCTGATGCTGATAGTCAGACACATTACCTTGCCAATAAAATATTGGGGAGCCCAGGATATGCCTGGGGAAGAGCGGCCCCAGCTGAAGAATTGCATTTTATTCACTTTAAACAAAACCAAGCAGCTGTCTGAGCAGTGTAACCGTACGGAATGCACTGCACACCCCTGGTCACACCACTGGCCATACTAGGCTATATGAGTACTAGGCTGAACTGAGTACTATCTTTAAGGACTGAAAATATGTCAATCGGTATATTTTTTTTCGATAGCTCGATGATAACACTGCCACACGTCGTTCTTCAAAGCAAAACGGCTCACCCCCACGCCTCTTTTTAGTTTATAAATACTAAATACAATTTCGTTGCTACATTGCCTACTGTGAATAAACATCAAAATCGTTCGTTTTGCTGTCTTGACTGTGTACTATGCGTGCCATGCACTGCATACAGCTCTGCGTTTGACTTGTAATTGATAGTGCGAGAGAGAAAGAGCACCATTGAATGGATGCCTGCAGAGTGGAAGACCAAAAAATCGTCTTTTTTAAAGTCCGGAGTAGCACTACTTCTACATAGACTCTTTTTTGCTTCACCCAGCCTATTGTGTGCCTGTCTGTGGTGGCAATTGTATTAATTCTACAGTGTCTACATAAATTAAAAGTTCACATTGCAAATATACTTTTATAAAATATTTGAATACCATTTCTTGTTTTGTACATTTGTGTGCACGTATTCGCACATACATGCATATCACGAAATACAGAAATGTACCTATTCTTTTTTGTGTAGTGTATGTGTGTTGTTACCAAAGCGCGCTGCGTTTTTTGTCCGAGTTCTTAGCCGCTCGTCTTTTTGTGTACATATATATATGTCTGTGAGAAAAACGCATCCCCAAAAATAAAAATAAAAACCCAGAAAAGCACCTTGCAGTTACTCCACTATCATGCTGAAGCTTACTCTCAGTTGCTGCCATTGTAAAGAGGTAAGTTCAAAAAAAGCTCCAATAATACGTGTTCAAAAGACATAAAAATGCATAAAGATATACATATGTATATGTATTTACATACGTATTTGTGTGTATTACCGTCGGTCTCGCGACGCCGAAAGAGCCTGCTGTCAAAAGAGAACTGAATAAATACGTACATGTACGCTCACATACGAAGCGCTGCAGCCAAGAGAACATTTCGGCTAGCGTCGGCTAAACTTAAAATGAAATGCAAAAGTGATTGTTTATGAGAAAAATAAATAAATTGAAAAATATAGAGTACACATTTATTTTTCGAGCTGTTATTGATATGCTTGGAGCAAGATGAATTTAGTAATAAGGTGAAGTCGTCCGCTGTGGTCCATTTTTTCAACTCGCTCTCTCGGCTCTTAGAGAGACAAGTGCTAGAAAGAGATAGCAGTCTTTGTTTGTTGTTGTTTGTATCTGCTAAAGACGTCACCTTATAAGTAAATTCACCTTGCGTCACTGCTACTGCTACTGCTCTCGCTCGCTATCTTTCTTCTTTCTCGGCCCCGACGTTGGGAGAGACGTTTTTCCAACAGACGCGAAAGATATGTTGGAAGACCATCGACTATTAGCAATTTAGTGGAAAATTAGTCGAATACAATCCAAAGCACATAATCGGCATACAAAAAATAAAATAAATATCAGATCAAATATTGAAAGGATTGTTCGTTCATGTGAAACAAAAGCAAAACGATGGGAAGGTGAGCTGCATTTTACGTTCGTCGTTTCTCTGACATGCGCATCCCCACACACATGCAAACACTGCAACACACAAACGGCCGCAAAGAGGAACCACTCCGAACACAAGGAAAAGAGTTTGGGCAGGCGCTTTTTTTTTTGTTTTCACTACTTGTTCTTTACTCTGCTTTCTGCTAACGGTGCGTGAATTTAGTGAATACGAGTTAAATTTTTTCTTTCGTCGCGGGCTAAATGCCATACCGACGAAATATACATTTTCTTTCATCGGTTTTCGTATATAGTATTTTTGATTTTATAAGTTTCAAAAAACGAGCTGAGCATATAACTATTGGAGCGAAAATTTACGCAATATTTTGAAATTTCACATTTTTTCTAGTTCGTGCTCGATCTCTCGAGCTCACTCAACACACACGAACACACACACACGCACGCGAATACAGACATCGAGAGCATGATGCAACTATATAAGTTGGTCCCATCAGTTGGGTGGAGGACGATAAACATATTCAGTCCACTCTCTCGGCTCTCAGAGAGCCATGCGCTAGAAAGAGATAGTAAACGACGTTTGACAAACGACTGGCAAAAATGCCGTCCTCAAAAGAGAGCAGATCTGGCGATGAGACCACCTTATATAGTTGCGTCATGATCGAGACTATTTGGCCATTGCTTAAGTCCGTTTTAGCAGTGTTGTGTGCTGCTGTAGAGGAGCTTTTCTTCTGACAGAAGAGTATTTTAAATCAATGCAGAAATATTTCAAAATGTACATACATATGTATATGTACATATGTATGTATATATACAGCTGTGTTCAATGAAATAGTAGTGCCGGACCTCATCACTTTCAAAACTCTTTTTGAGACATTTTCAGTTATCCAACTTGAACAAATGATACCATTTAAAATAGACTGGACTGTTAGCATTAGAAAACCGAAGAAATATCCATACATTTAAATTCCATCTTCTTGTTTTACATGCCATAAGCCGAATACCCATAAAATATGCTGTTCAATGAAATAGTAGTACTTTCTTAGAAAATTGAAAAAAACAACGAAACTCAAATAAAAACATATATTTCATGTTCTTCATGTTTCTTGAGCTTTAATATTTAGTTTTTTATCAATTTGGTTTTCATTGCGAACTTGCATCGGCCGGATATGGGTCATTAATCTCTTGCCAACGCTTCAATAGGATTTGAGCCAATATTCCATGAACCACTTGCTAAAACTTGGCTCTGGTTCACGGATTTGCAGTTGCAACAATGTATTTGGTATTCCAGCATAAGATTCCGATGAGATTTATATCCAGTTGGACAGTTGGCCATGGCAAAACGTCGATCTTTTCCGATAAAAATCAATTCCTAGCGAGCTTTTCTGGGTATTTTAAGTCTTTATCCTGTTAAAAGATCCTTTTAACATAAATTTTTCAACTGTAATATGGTTTCGCTCAAAACCATACTATACTCGAACGCCAGGCTAGAAAGTACTAGCTTATATGAGCTGGGCCCCATAAGGCTCAGCCTAGCGTGCCCAATGCTATTTTTTTCATGATTTTAGGTGGTAGTCAGATTTCTGTGAATGCCAAACATAATCTTTTGAGTTTATATAACCATATAATACAACTTTACTATCATCAGTCAAAAGCATTTTTGTCACTGTGAACACAGGCCAGACCACATGCGATCTTCCAAACTGAAGTCGTGCACCCATGTACGCTCAGATCCAAACGCGGAGCTTTCTGGGACTTCTTGCATTCAAATAATGTATAACAGACCGTCTAAGAACTGTTACATCACTGACAGAGCGATTTAAAATTTGTTTCATAATTTTTGAGAATATTAAAGGCCTGATCTTGCCTTCGACCATCGCCGACCATCCTCTAAAAAATTAGTTTTTCGCATACAAATTCGATTTCCAGTCTACTTCTTTTAGTTAATTGGGGTAAATACAATAGTGGGAGTGCATACAACTTAATTTTCAATCCTATTATACCTCCTGCCTTAAGTTTTTAGCCTAACTCTTGGGTATCCTCTTCTGGACCGAGCAATGATTTCTTCAACGCTTCAAAATCAAAAGTACCGCTGTGTCCAAAACTTTCTTTCATCAATTTGATGAATAATTTATTCGATATCTAAATTGAGCTTGCGGATGGTGGCTTATTTAAATTAATTTGCTTTGTTTTTTCATTTTTAAAAATTAATTAAACCCAGCACTACTATTTCATTGAACAGAAGATATAATGAGTAGTGGTCTAAAGTCATGAAAAACAAGAAGATGGAATGCAAACGTAACGGGGTTTCTTCGATTTTCCAATGCTTACTTTCCAGGCTTTCCGTAAAGGTATCACTTGTTCAATTTGAAAGACTAGAACTATCTCAAAAAGAGTTTTGAAAGTAGTGAGTTGCGGCACTACTTCTTGATTGAACACAACTGTATATTTACAGCTGAGGTCAAAATAATAGTAGTTCCAATATGACTTTTCATGTATCCTCAATAAAAGAACTTACGAGCACTTCCCAAAAATAATTTTAGTTTTTTTAGAGACTACTTTAACTGCAGATTTTAATAACAGATAATAACTTAAAATAAACCACCAACATTTTTTAGAAAAAATTAAAATGTTGGAGTACATAAACGAGAAGGAACGTGTGAGTCGCTTCTGGGGACGCGACTCTACTTATACCCGTACCCCGTACTCAGTCAGTATATACATTTTTGAGCTTATGATTTTTGAGAATTAAAAAAAAAAAATGTAACACTTTACATTTTTTTTTCTACATCTGTTATCTACATCTACAATGTATATTCTACATCTAAAATGTAGATTATACATACAGTGGTGCTCATAGACTTAAGCCACAAGACTTCAACCAAGAATTTAAACCAGTGATGGGCACGAAAACTAACGGAAAGAGCCAGACAGAAAAAACAAAAAAAAACAACCCCCGTCGCGACGCGTCGCAGTTAGGAGTCAGAATGGGCGAGCAAAGTGAATACACTTGTTGTTGTTCTGATTTTCATGTGCGTAGCCCAAGACACAGATCGCGCCTTCGAAGCATTTTGAATTTTGGCGTCTCTTTGACGCCAAATTTCTGTGGCATTGTTTTTGTAAAATTCACGGATCGCTGTACGCGAGCGACGACCGTCTGAGCCGACTTGCTGGCGCCTCCCGAAAAACATTTTGGAAAGAGCCGCGGGAGTTGAAAGAGCCACGGCGTGTCCATCTCTGATTTAAACGAAAATTAAGAAAAGTTTTTATGTCACAGCTCCAATTTTTTGTGTCACATTATTCAGTGTCATTAGTCATTATATCAGTGTTCTAATAGAAGAACACCCAAGTTATAAAAATATATATTCAACGAAAAACTTAAAAAATCTGAGACCTTCTCCAAAATGTCGTGGTCACATACTTAAGCCACCTGAAAAAAAATGTTTGAAAAAGTTAAAATTTGCCCAATATTCCTTATACTTTTAATAAATTTACTTTAATATTGAGTGGGATGACCTTTCTGCTTAAGAACAGCGGAGCAACGCTTTGGCATTGAATCCACAAGGCGTGCGCACTGTTGAGGGGTGATTTTCTTCCACTCCTCTTGCAAAATTCGCCACAAATCGTTTTTATTTGCTGGTTTTTTTTGGCCAACGACTTGTTTAAGAATTCCCCACAAGTTCTCTATAGGGTTCAAGTCGGGGCTCTGCGGTGGCCAATGCAAAACATTGATTGCCTGTTGGCTATGCCACGACTTGACTATCTTGCTGGTGTGTTTCGGGTCGTTGTCCTGTTGAAATATCCAGGCAAGTGGCAAATTATCGGCATATTCTCCAGATAAATTGTTAATAAGAATGTCCCTGTACATTTCGCCGTTCATAATGCCTTCTATCTTCACTAGGGGACCTACGCCCGATGCGGTGAAATTTGGGGTCCAATTGTTTGTTTGGAGGACGTCGTACATATGGTTTACCATCACTCCCAAAGACATTAAACTTGGATTCGTCGCTCCAAACAATCATGTTCCAAAAATTGGGACCTTTTTGAATATGCTCTGGCGAATTGAAGGCGCTTTTTAACATTTTTAATGGACAGCAATGGTTTTTTTTGGGCAGTGCGTCCATATAACCCGAATTCATTTAGCCGTCTTCTTATGGTCTGAGATGACACATTCACGCCATAATCTGCCACCATTTGACCTTGATTTGCGTCGAAGTCAAGAACGGATCGGCTTTACTGATTTTGGCAATCCGTCTATCGTCGTTTAAAGTGGTTTTTCTGGGCTTTTCACGTGGAATATTTTCCCAGGTTCCATGTTTCTTATAAAATGCAATGGCATTTCTGACTTTGCCACGCGAAAAATGTAAAGTCTTACAAATTTTTAGAATACTTGTGTTTTTTTCCGTAATATTCCCATATTAGCTTTCTTTCGGCCGGATTTGTATTTTTATTTTTATCCATAGCGGTCAAATTATTTGGGAAACGTATTGAGTATTCAATATTTCCCGGAAAAAAACACAAGTTTGACGATTTTAGCTCAAGGTGGCCTAAGTATATGAGCAGAGCGCAATACTCCTTTTTGACATTTAGTCAATTTTTTGGGAACCTCCGAATTCCTACTTGTCATTTTTTACTGTGATCAGCTGCTTAAATAACAGTGTTGCAAAATGTGAAAATGTCGCCGAATTAAATATGTTCAAAAAAGTTATTAAGAAAACAGTTTATGGTAGTGGCAGTGGCTTAAGTCTATGAGCACCACTGTATACCATTTAGATTCTACATCTCCTCCGCTAGGGGTTTCTCGCGCACTGAACGCGGCAGAGTGTGCGAGCGAGAAAGAGAATGAGTAGCGGGTCTGTCTCTGGCTGGCGGAGGCGGGGGAACCAACAGAAAATTAATTTCTTCATTCTGGCTATATTTATGATCCGATCTGATTCTGATCTCAGATTCGGCAATCTGGTAGATATGGTCATTCTCTACGAGATTGTGCCTGCCACAGATTTTCGTCCTTTGTTGGGGTGGAAGGGGGCGGGGCGAAATTTTGAAATACACTTGTAGCAGTGTGATATCACATGAGTCTGGAAACCAAATTTGGTTACCCTAACTCTTATAGTCTCTGAGATCCAGGCGCTCAACAAGACGGACGGACGGACGGACAGACAGACATGGCTATATCGACTCGGCTATTAAAGGTTTCCAGGAAATATTTAAATTGACCATTGGGAAAGTGGAGGTATATTTTTCTGTCGGACGAGTCCAAAATAGCTTTTTTTTTAGCCTGATATCTCGTTGTTACCTAAGACGAACCCGGTTGCCTAAATTTTCGCCAAAATATTTTTGGAAAACTAAAAATTGCGGCATCCTAAACAATGGTTTGGGGGAGTTTTTCCTGCTACGGAATTTGACCATTAAATGGGTTAAGAACATATTGAATCATTTATACGTTTATATATCGACCGATATGATGCTACCTTATGCATCTGAGGATATGCAACTTATTTGGACGTCTCAGGAGGACAACGATCCAAAGGACAGCCGCAAAGCTGCCAAAGAGTGGTAAATTCATTGGAATGGTCGGATCTATCACCCGATCTCAATCTAATAGAGTTGGTGTATGTATGGTGTAGTGTGAAAGGAGAAGTCTCATAAATAACACGATCAACTTTTGGATGTGCTACAAAGGTCCTGGATGAAGATTTCTGTAGAAAGGTGCCAAAATATAGTTAGCGTCGTTCATGCGGTAAAGCTAACATAGGCTACTCAACTAAATCTTAAAACTAGCTTCGAATATAGAGTTATTATACTGGATATAAAGAACACTCTTCGAAAATTTTTTTTGACCGTAGTCACTTATGAAAACTATTATTTTGAGCGACCCGTTTTTGATGTACTTCAACATTTTAATTTTATTCTAAAAATGTTGATGGTTTATTTTAAGTTGTTCCATTAGTACAATCTGCAATTAAAGTAGTTTCTAAAAACACTAAAATTCTTTTGGGGAAGTGCTCGTAAGTCCTTTTATTGAGAATATATGAAAAGTCATATTGGCATTACTATTATTTTGACCGCAGCATACATTTGCGCTTTTAAAATGACAGTCCCTACACATTGTCAAGTGCATATTGCTATTTATGTTGTTATTGTTCTAACAGGTATGGTTTTTCATGATATTGGCTTTTTGGTGTCAGCTAGAGTAGAGGCGCAGAGCTTGACCGAGCGATAGCGCATTGCTGTGGACTTGGTCATTTATTTATAAATCCAAAAAAGGTATGTGTGTGTGTGTTTTCGAACATTTCAAAGAAATCTGCGAAAATACTAATTAAACAGAGATCACGTGATTGTGCTCTGATCGATTCGAAAAGAGAAGCCAGGGACCAGTCGAAGCAAAATATCGGCACGGCACCTACTGCTGACCAGGGCTCCGCCTAGGCTGTATAGTTTGATTTGGTTACCAAGTCTCTCTCGCTTAATTTATTTACATATGTTGATTTGTACATTTTTCTGTAGATGTGATGTTTCTCCAACGTATGTTACTTATTTAATTATTTTAATTTTCTATGTAGATTATTTTATATTATATTATTATCTTCCCTCAGAAGAGATTCAATAGCTGGATTTTCAACGCCTTGCTGAATTTCTTCTCACTTTACAATTCTGCTCACCTAGTCCCTTTTCTCTCGCTTGTCAAAAATAGTTTTGTTGGCAAGCTCAGCACCTACCTATTGATGTGCTAATTTAATTAGGAACCCGTTCTATCCGCTGTGTGCTCTTAAACAAAATATTTTCCGCCTTCTTCTCTACCATTAGGGTACCTAACTGTGTGGGAGCACATTTGGACTTGCACCTTCATGTACATATGCATGTGTGTGTATTAATTACCGTTGGTGGTGAGAGCTATAAGTTGATAAACGTATAAATATTTGAAATACAAAAAAATATATTTTATATGTACTTATACGTATGTATATATATTTGTATTTACTGTTTGTACAAATTTGCATTATTCTTCCCAATCCACCATGCCGTTGGTATTTATAGGTCTAGTGATACGCTAATTAAAAAAAAAAAAACAAATAATTTCCATCAGCATAGTATTAGAAAATTAAAAAGTGTATAAAATGCCAGTTACATCAATAAAGGAACGAATTTAGAATACAAATATCTTACTCAGATAGCTTGCGGTTTGTTTTTCTGTGGCAATATATTTGAGCTGGTAGCACTGTTCATAATCTGTGCCTAGTGAAACGATTGCGATTACCAACAGCGGACTGCGACGTCGTCGATCGTGCGCGTGCCGTTTGCTGCTCTACCGTGCCTTTTGCTCATTCCTATTTTGACAAGCGACAAGCAACGTGTGCGCGGAACGGAACGCATTGCGCTGCGGTGATTTCGATCTAGCTTTCGATCGATTTTTTTTCGTGTGTTCTGTGTCATACTGTTATTCTTAACCTTTAGTGTGGTCCCGCGTTGTTTTTTGTTTGTTGTCTTTGCTCTTGACGTTTTTTTTAATTGACAACAATCCAATAAAATAAAAATAAAAAATTAAGCCCAACAACGGTAATCATTAAGAGCAGTATTAAAAGCACTTGCAGCTTTGTACAGCCATGGCTCAATTCTGCGAGAGCTCCTCACCTTGCTTAGGCAGCATGTCCAGCTCAGCGCCGAACCAGATGACGGGTCAATCGCTGTTGTTGTGTATGTATGGAGCCCTGACAGCACCACGACTATGAACTCCCATTTCCTACCGCTGTTTTAGCCTTTTTTGCACTGTAGCTCAGCTGTTATTTTTGCTTTTGACTCGACGTTTGCTGCGACTTTCTGGCATGCATGCACGCATTCATACATGCATATTCACATACATAAGTATACTTTGTGCAATTGCGTATTTAGCATCTATTTGGTTAAATGAAATTTACGTATGTATATGTCAATTTTTCATGTTTTGACGATGGTGTTGTTCAGGCTCTTCCCGCTCTTCCCTGATTAAGCATCGACAAAAAAAGATTGCGGCTGTGTGCGTAAGTTTATTTTTCGGGTATAGAAATACGGTACATATGTATATTGCGTTAGACTTTGGAGTCTTTGAGTGCATATTGCATTCCCCATTCCCTTTTCTGAAATTGTAAATTTTAAATATTTTGGGCTCCCATTTCTTGGAGCTGTAAGTATAGCCAAAAACCATCAAAATCAAATAAGTAACAAGTGTGATTAATAATATCGACCCGATTTGGGAATTTCCACAGAAAGGTGCACCATGTCCAAAAAATGAAAAGTTAGCCAACAGTTCTTATTTACTTGTATTATTGAAGAGATACCTTTCAAATTAAATAATGTAAATATTTGAAAGCGCTCCCTTAATGAGATAGCGAGATAACGGGTTTCAAAGTTCAACTTCATTTCGCTCTCTTTATGTTTCACCCATCTCATGACAATACAAGAAAAATTAGTAGAAATGCGTAGCCTGCTTTGTCCATACAATACAATTCTAATACAATCACCCTTCTTCCATTAACGATTAACCAACTAATCAATGTGTCCGTTTTGTGAATAGCGATACCAATAGAAAGAGAGAGAGAGTGCATGCCACTCAGTGTCGACTGGTTCTTGTTTTCTCTGCGTTGTCGATCACAAATGCATGAAAGTTTTCATTTGCAAAACTCGTCGTCAGGTGTCAATTTCTGGACTCTTCAATAAATTTCGTAACTTCACGCCAGATTCTTCGGCTAATAATAAAAAAAAAACCCGAATGGTTTTTGTATTTAATATTCTTGGGGAATTAGCATTCCACATTTCAAATATTATTCCAAAAAATGTTATTGTGTAACCCAATTCGCAGAGTTTCTGTAACCCGAGTTCGAGTTTTTCAGGCCTGAAGTCGAACGGGACATTCGTACGCATTTCCAGTGGTAGAAAGGCCAAAATAAGACAGATTTTCAAAACAGTTTTACCTTTATGATACACCTCTTGACTAGCCCTATAAGTGGTTCTAAGGTTTCGTTTTCTATTCGTTTTCGAGATTATGTCAATCAATTCAAACTCCGATTTCAGCGAAAGTTTGGCCAATATATTAAGTCAAATTTTGTGTTCATGTTTTGCATTAATGTCTCTTTAAAATGGTTATGATTTTACTCAAATATGATTCATTGTTTTTTTAAATTTAATTAAAACCATCTTCGAACGGGACGAAAATCTGTGGCATCCACAATTTCGAAGATACGAGAAAACGGAAAGCACAGTATCGTAGAAAAATACCATATATACCGGATTGCCGAATCTGGATCTGATCGGATTATTATTGTAGACAGAATGAAAAATTCCAGCGCTGTGCAGCGTTACTCATACTCGCTCACACACACTTTTCCTCGTGCAGCGCTACTCATTCTCGGTCATACACAGTTTTCCTCGTGCAATGTGCGCCCTCTGGCGGAAGTGAAAGAAGAGAGATGTAATTGAAAGATGTAGCAAACAAATAAGTTAAAATATTTAAAAATTCCACATATTAGCTCACATACTGACTGACTACGGGTATAAAAGTAGAGTCGCGGCAACAGAAGCGACTCAACGTTCCCCCTCGTTTTTTTTTATTGAATATAGAGAAACTTAATTACATGCAAATAGCAAAAGAGTTTGAATTCAACATAATTCTACATATTTTTTATTTTTCGTTGTACGAATGTCACGTCACTCCTTATTGGAAATGCGCATATGTTGTTACTAGCAGTTCAAATATAGTTCTCTGACAACTGGTAGCTTAACATATTTTTTGATCACGCCACTCAAATGTAACTCAATTATTTTTCAAACTAAACATAAATCCGTGTATTCGGCATTTCTATTTGTTTGTTTCACTTAACTTTCCATTGTCAATCGGAAAACTGTCGACATACTGGGGAAAAGGTAGAACGATGGTCTTTATGCCGGAATTCAACGCTTTTTTTTCTCCCTATATTTATACAGACTTCTGCTTTTTAAAACTCGACGACGATCGGAGTTGAGTTTGATCACCCGCTATGTGTATTTTTGCCAACTGAGCTTTTTATATGGACGTTGATTTGCAATGACTGCACCATAAAGTGGCCCATGCTACACCAAGCCGAACCTGTTATGCGAGGATTTTAGAAAGAATCGCAGCCCTCCTCCCGTCTAACCGACCGAGGGGCTCTGCTAGATGAAGCATGTAACCGAACCGATCGCGGAAAATGCACGAAAGATAGGTGTTAGACTAATATAGACTTAACATGCAAAGATACCTAAGAAATAATACTCATTACTGGAAAGGTATGTTAGTATTAATGATTTTAGAAGAGGAAGGTAGTAAGTGGTGGATAGTATATGGTAGAGGGAACTAAAATCCGATCATAAGACCCTAAACAACGATTCATGCAAGGAATAATTCGATCTACAAAGTGGAAGGAACAAAGAAAAAAAGTTTCTCGTGGATCTAATAGGAATCGTGAAGTTTATGTTGCTCAACAAGTCAGTGCTATCTACATCACCCTTGATCACCCTTTTTATACCCGTACTCGAAGAGTTAAGGGGTATTTTAGATTTGTGGTAAAAATGGATGTGTGAAACGAAGAGGGCGAAACGACTCCGTAAAAAATATACAGTGATGGAAAAAATAATATAAACGGCTGGCGCATCCACATTTGAAATCGTTTGGTTTAAGGAAAATGGTGCTTTATTTTGGATTATCTATTGGACTTTCGTGAAAAATATTAGCTGGGTATACGGATACGGATATGCTGTAGAAAGTTTTTGTCTTGGGGAGAAAGCAGTCGGATGTGGTTCCTATCTTTTTTTGAATCGGTTGTAATCGATTAATACCGGTAAAATTTAATAAACTTAAGGAAAAAAGAAGATATAAAATAATAATAATAATAATAATAAAATAAAATAATTATTCCTGCGGATCTCGTTTTTTGTTTTTGGTGTTTTTGTTCGGCTCACTCCCTACGAAAAACGATAAGGAACGTGTGAGTTGCTTCTGGGGACGCGACTCTACTTATACCCGTACTCAGTCAGTATATACATTTTTAAACTAATGATTTTTTAGAATTAAACGAGAAGGAACGTGTGAGTCGTTTCTGGGGACACGACTCTACATATACCCGTACTCAGTCAGTATATACATTTTTGAGCTTATGATTTTTTAGAATTAAAAAAAAAAATGTTTACATATTAAATTTTTTTGCTACATCTGCTATCTACATCTACATATACAATGTCTATTCTACATCTAACATGTAGATTGTACATGTTCCATTCATATTCTACATCTCCTCCGCTAGGGGTTGCTCGCGCACTGAACGCGGCAGAGTGTGCGAGCGAGAAGGAAAATGAGTTGCGTTGTCGTTGGAAGGAGGAGGCAGGGGAAGCAACTGAAAATTAATTTCTTCATTCTGGCTATAATTATGATCCGATCTGATTCAGATTCGGCAGTCTGGTAGATATGGTCATTCTCTACGATACTGCGTTTAGTTTTATCGTATCTTTAAAATTGTGCCTGCCACAGATTTTCGTCCTTTGTTGGGGCGGAAGGGGGCGGGGCAAATATTTTGAAATACACTTGTTGCAGTGTGATATCACATGAGTCTGAAAACCAAATTTGGTTAGTTTTATCGTATCTTTAAAAATGTGCCTGCCACAGATTTTCGTCCTTTGTGTGGTCTGGAAACCAAATTTGGTTGCCCTAGCTCTTATAGTCTCTGAGATCTAGGCGCTCAACAAGACGGACAGACAGACAGACAGACAGACAGACAGACAGACAGACAGACAGACAGACAGACAGACGGACAGACAGACATGGCTATATCGACTCGGCTATTGATGCTGATCAAGAATATATATACTTTATGGGGTCGCAAACGTTTCCTTCTCTGCGTTACACACATCCACTTTTACCACAAATCTAATATACCCCTTAACTCTTTTTTGAGTACGGGTATAAAAATAAACAGCTGATGCAATAGTCAAAGCAATCATGTGTTTTGCTCTCTGCAGCACTTTTTTTGCGCTTAAAAGCCACCTGTTATTTTTTTTAGTTCGGATTGTTTTTGTCTGGACGTTGATATGCAATGATTGCACCATCAAGTGGCCCATGCGACACCAAGCCGAAGCCTGTTACGCGCGGAACCCAGGCAGAAACACAGCCCCTCGCCCAACCGACCGAGGGGCGCTGCCGCATGACGCGCGACGAGTGTTACCGAACCGATCGCGAGCATGCAGGAAAGATAGGGGTTAGACTAAAATTCGAGGAAAATTAAAGATAAACACAACTCAAAGAGCTTAATATTCAAAGATAGCTAAGAGATAGTACTAATTACGGGAAAGGTATGTTAGTATTAGTGATTTAAGAAGACGAAGGGAATTAATGGTGGATATTATATGGTAGAGGGAATTAAAGTCCGAGCATAGGACCCTAAAAGGTTCGTGCAAGGAATAATTTGATCTACACAGTCGAAGAAACAAAGGAATAAAGTTTCTAGTAGATCTGATAGGAATCGTAAAGTTTATGCGGCTCAACAAGTCAGGGCTATCTACATCACATCACGTTGTGCATAAAAATCACACTAAGCATTTTTCTACGATTAACTAAGGTGGGAAGGTTTATTAAAAGCAATCTACGAGGGTAAGATGGCAGTCTCACACCTGCATCCCAGTTAAGGCCATGCAGAGCAAAAAATAAAAAGTGT